ACTATCTCCCCGCGGGTCAGACAATACACATTTCTCCATCAACTGTCTGGCGCCCTTCTTCCTTCCTATTCTTTGCACGTTCTCTTCGAAGATCTTTCGTCCTATCCTATTGAATCCAGCATTTTAGGCGCGAATCGCATCTCCAATTTCGCCAAATGCGCCTCTATCGATTTATGTGCAGCAAAATTTTTATCGATAGATAAAGGAAACTGAAAACTATCAGTATCATACAGTTTCATAAAGAAAATATTTGTTTAAAATAGAATTATTATAAAGAATCTTGTATATTGTTTCTGGCAAAACATTAATATTCAATTAATCTTCTTTTCATATGAATTATCTCAATAAAATAAAAATGCGCAGGAATAAAGTTTAACTTACAAAGAATAAAATGAAATTTCTACCTGAAGAAAATGTCATAAGTTATGAAAAACAAAGTCTCTAAGAAAAAATATAAAGTAATACTTCGCAACACATCGACATCAGTAACGCAGCCGGGACGTAAGATGGTCTACCTTATGCTGAATTTAGATAACGCGGTGGAGAGAGAGATGAGAAAAGCCGAGTGAATTAAAAACGTTCGTTTCCTTACCGGCGCTCGTAAAAGCCACATTTGCCTAACCATACGAAAAGGGAGCCGACGAGTTAAGCCCGATTTATATTCCGGCTAGCACGGCAAACAATCTCGAAAACTTCTAACCGCATCGCCCCCGCCGTGTTCGTGTCCCCACCAAAAAGAGAGAGAATTCCGAATCAGCGTTTCCCGCTTGCGGAGCTTTAAGCTTTCCTCTCTCCGCTAACTTTGCCAAATCTCTCTCGAAATCAGTCTCTCTTTTCCATGCGCCTCTTGCCTTAAATTGTGGCAGTGTTGAATTCGGCTCGCCCGCATGGGAAAGACAGACGTCATGAAAAACAGGCGAGTAGATGAGGATGAGAGACATGGGAAGGAAGAAGAAAGCGATTGCGTGCGCGGAACCGCAAGCTCGGCGAAAATCCGAAACTCATCCCAATTTCCGCTTTCGAATTTTCACGCTTTCTATCGAGATAATGGACTTGCGGGTTAGGTATCCCTCCCCACGGGAGATATATCATCTCAAGTATAAGCCCGACGACATTATGATACGCGATAATAATTATACAACTTGACTTTGTGGCATAACTTTGAAAGAGAGATGTTTTTAAAATATTTATTTATTACTCTGTATATTATGATAATTTTCGAAAATTCTTTATTTAACTGTTATTTTTATATAAATGTTTAAATACATATTAGATTTGGTATCTCATACAGTTTATTTTTTATTTGTTTTCTCTATCCTTTAATCATAAGGGATCGCGCGTTATATCCCAGATAATAGAAGATTTCTCTTTGACCAGACCAGACCTGACAAACGATAACTTGGAGAAACCGAAATAAGAGCGACTTTTGGAAGATCTGAAGAGGGAATATGTTGGAAAAGGAAAACGGTTGTACTCTCCCGCGGAAGAGAAAGCCGCAAACTCGGCAAAATAGCGAAGCCCGAAAATCTATCTCGACCTTCCGTCTTCGAATTTTCACTCCTTCCAGCGAGATAATAGGGTTTCCCGGATATCTTACCGTACAATAACTCATCCGGGATACAAACGGCGCCATGTTAACCGCTGTCGCATATTAATCACAATTTTCATTTTCTCACGCGAACGAGAACGAGAGGCGCCGGTCTTTATGTATGCAGAAAAGCGCACGACGCGAATAATCTTTGCGCACGGATGATCTCGCGCGCATTAATTCGAGAATCGCATTTCGCGCAGAATAAATCATCCTCTCGAGATTATTTTATCTAGATTAAAAATTCTGTTTGCAGCAAATTGCTGTGCGTGCAAGTTAAACTTTCCTGTGTTTTCAAATTTTTTAATTTTTGTATATATATAGGATAAAGCATCTCTTTATCTATTGAATTAGTCTTGATTCCGTATCATAACAACGAGGAAAATTTTGTTACAAAAATCATCAATCTTCGCAATGATTGCGATAAATATTTCAGCAGATTCAGTTAGTGGTATTATTTGTAAATGTAGAGGATTGAATATTTCCTACAACAAGCACTTCTAAATAATTGCTTTACAAACGATTATTGATTGAAAACGTATAAAATGTATAATTTTATTGGCATTACAAAAGACTGCTCGTTTATTCGTCGCGCCACGAATGATTAAACCCAGCACCAATATCTGATAACGAATAGTCAACACGATATGAATCCTGAGACGCGAACGTAATTTAACTTATATTTACAGTCTGATAGTCGTGAACTTGCTTAATTTAATATTTACATTAGTGTCAAAGCGGCAAAAAGGAGGAGACGAGCGAAGAGGATAAAATATATGAAGATCAAATAATATATTTTCTCATTAAACACATCTTCGACGAATATAAACTTGTGTGATCTACATGAAAGATGACGCGCGAAGCTCTCTGTTCCTCGAGATTTATGGCACGTTGTGATTTCTTCAATAATATTTTTTATCTCGATCTCATTCGTATCTCGATGCCTACAAGCACGCGTATCTGTAACACGTGTCATGACGCGAGTAACGGGTGATAAATCAACGTTGTGCGAGCATTTTATTGAAGTAGACATTTTTCTCACCGTGGACGGAACTTCTTGCCACTTCGCGTGCATAACCGTTTCAGTTGATGGATAATTAATGCCAAACGGTGCGCAGCTCTGATTTATTGCGAATGATGTAATTACCGGCGCGCTCAGACTCGACAGGAATATGCAGGGATTTTGCAGAGGCTGGGATTGACCTCTAAAGAATCACGATAATTTTCCGTATGGTTAATCACGCCGTGGAATCGATTACCGTTACTTTTGCTTTCGTTTATTGGATAATATTTTTATTCCTTGTCTGCTTTCCAAATTTTGCACTCTCGAAAAATTGTGATTTAATTAAACGTGTTACATAAAATGCGCAGGATTATGATTGATAAGTATTGCAAATTATATATGAAAATTCAGCGATTAATAATTCTTATCTGAAGAGAAATTTTAAATTGGGCATAAAATCTATTATTAAAATTTAATCTCTATTCTGAAACGTATTTGATACTTTAAACTGTGAAAGTGGGGAAGAGAAAAAGGTAAAGAGAAAGAAAAGAGAAAGAGAGGAAAGTGAAAGAAAGGAATAGAGAGATTCAATTAACACTAATGGAAATCGGAAAAATCGATTGATGTATGACTATATAGCTAATGGAAATCGGAAAAAATCATTTGATATGTATGAGAACAATATACGGAGGATTAAAGAAACATGGATACGAATATCATACATTTGTTTATTTCGTATATTATTTACGGGCAAGATATAATAATTTGTGACAATTTTCTCATAGTATCAATAGCGGGATTGTGTAATAATGATAACGACATTAATTATAAGTAAATAGTTTAACCGTAATTTAGTGAATTGCAATGTAATTCATCTTTTATTCAATTTTATTACATTGGTATGACAATGAACGAGAGCTAACTCCCATTGTATTATTGTATTTTGTGGAGTTAATTTAACGTAGAATGTAATTCGGCTAAATTGATTTGACTGTGATCTTGATTTGATTAATTAACGCAGAATAAGATGCTTTCTTTAAGAAAGCGGGATTAAAAATTATTCTCTCTCTGTTTTCGAACAGAATTGTTATTGCATAATATGCCTTCAGAGCTCATTTATCTTCTCGATATATTTATTCGTATTGTGCACCCCACGTTAATTCACGGCCGTGCTTTGTGTGGTTCGAGGTTTGCCTCGAGGGATAAAATTAATGAACTCGCGGTTTTGCCTTCTTATACCACAGCTATACGAGCTTACCTTTCTCAACTCGACCTACCAGAAAACACAATGGCCAAACACCATCCTAGAAGAGCTCAGGTGGCGTTCAGGCTGTGTAATACGAAACTGTAATCAGACTAATGGCACTATGTTATCTTTTTCTTTGTGAAATCGACTGTACGACGATTGAAAAGAAACAAGAGGGATGAGACATAGAGATGTGTTTCAGCCTTGACTCGTAATGATAAAATCACAAAACATTTATCAAGCGCTAGGTAATTTGGAAAAGTCCCGACTCTCTAATAATTTTATCTATAACGCAAAATAATTTTTATTTGCCCGCTATATTCTTCGCTTTTACGGGAAATGACCTTAAAAATTATTTAAATTTTCGAAGTTGGATAAAATTCGAGAGCAGCTTACAACTGTCATCTATATGTTCTTTTAATAAAAGCGTGCAGGGAAAATTAATCCTCTTTCATGTGTTCAGCAGTAATCTGTGAAAGTATTAAAAAGATTTTGTAGTCACCCATTTTACATTTTTAGCAGATGAAAGCCGATACGTTAAAATTCACATCACACGACAAACTTTAAGATATGCGATAATGCACAGTGTAATATATGCACAAAGTAAGTCGCATGACACTATAAAAGAGAATGCGAAGCATGAGTTACGTAAACCGTAAATGCGAACGTAATTAACACGGCTTATCCAAGCGTATGCAAGCTCATTATCCGGCTTATGTAAGCACCAAATTTTATTGATCAACAAAGGATATTCTCGCGAATCACGCTGGTTCTCTCCGATGTAGCATTCTTGTTCCAGGATAAACACGAGCCAGCAAACAACAACCTAATCCCATGCAAACAACATCACGAAGACAATCTGATTAATGAAGCCACTACTTGTTCATATACTTACAATGCAAACAATGATACGAGAGAATTAAAACGTACAATATGAATAAGGATATGCAGGCGAAAGACATTGTGCGCATTTGAGTATTTATCTCGAAGAAATATTCTCTTGCGAGTTTCAGCTCTTGTCTTTTATTTAATTTAAAATATTCTGATACAGTATAATATTTTTTCTACAATGTTTTCATTATTATATTTTTTATACCGTAATCTTGTTTTAGCTTATTATAATAAAATTTTACTAATGATTATCTGTTATTTATATGTTTTAGGTGCTGCCATTACCAAAGATGCTAGATCTTCGAATCAATTACATCGGAGAAGCCTATTCGAGACTTTAGAAGACTCGACAGAAATCTGGTAAGTTTTGTGGCAAAACTTAAATATATCGGTTTCATGCTTGAACAAAGTGTAAATTACTTACACTATCGATTGATCGGCGCTAAGTCTTCTGATAAAAAAGTTTTTAAGTGGAGTTTTACTGCAAAGTCAAGTAATAGATATCGACGCGCCATAATTGGATTCTACGAAAAAAGAGAGTAATAAATAATGCATAAATAAAAAAAAAATTATAATCCCTAATGTTGTAACAAATTGTGCATCGGCAATATTGTGTATAAAGCAATTTGTACAATAAATCTGAGATGTAGCATTCTTGTTCCAGGATAAACACGAGCCAGCAAACAACAACCTAATCCCATGCAAACAACATCACGAAGACAATCTGATTAATGAAGCCACTACTTGTTCATATACTTACAATGCAAACAATGATACGAGAGAATTAAAACGTACAATATGAATAAGGATATGCAGGCGAAAGACATTGTGCGCATTTGAGTATTTATCTCGAAGAAATATTCTCTTGCGAGTTTCAGCTCTTGTCTTTTATTTAATTTAAAATATTCTGATACAGTATAATATTTTTTCTACAATGTTTTCATTATTATATTTTTTATACCGTAATCTTGTTTTAGCTTATTATAATAAAATTTTACTAATGATTATCTGTTATTTATATGTTTTAGGTGCTGCCATTACCAAAGATGCTAGATCTTCGAATCAATTACATCGGAGAAGCCTATTCGAGACTTTAGAAGACTCGACAGAAATCTGGTAAGTTTTGTGGCAAAACTTAAATATATCGGTTTCATGCTTGAACAAAGTGTAAATTACTTACACTATCGATTGATCGGCGCTAAGTCTTCTGATAAAAAAGTTTTTAAGTGGAGTTTTACTGCAAAGTCAAGTAATAGATATCGACGCGCCATAATTGGATTCTACGAAAAAAGAGAGTAATAAATAATGCATAAATAAAAAAAAAATTATAATCCCTAATGTTGTAACAAATTGTGCATCGGCAATATTGTGTATAAAGCAATTTGTACAATAAATCTGAAAAAAAAATAAAATAAAAACCCTATCTTTCTTTTTATATACATATATTATAATTAAAACATCATATACAATCTAGAGAGAATATTAAAGTTATTATTAAAGTAACTGTCCGTTATAATTTTAAAATAAAATAAAAAGACATGTTTTACTGTTCTCAAAACATATCATATTACTATATTATAAACAATTTGTTGGTATTTAAACATATATATAGTGTCGAACTTTCAAACTAAACTATGCGTAATCGCAGATTTTTTTATCGTCCGCCAGGTTCTCGAACGAAAGTTTTAGCTGAGTGCGCAAGTATTTTACGCTTCCACGACGATTCTTGTGGACTTAGTGAAAGATTTTCGAAATCTGGTAGCGACTTTTAAGAATAATCTTTCAAGCGTAAAAGCTAATTTTAAGCGGCTTTTATCACTTCGATAACACTGCACAAGTCGAAGAGTTAACATATTACTGAATATTTAAAATGAAAAATGTTCTCTCTCTTTTGAAGTTTTCCCATTAACACGCGCGTGCGATAATATATATTTCAAGTATAATTACAATAAAAAATATTTCGTCTCTGATAATAGATTTCAATGATTGTTATTTTTCGCATTTTTTTACGAGATTATATATAAAACATATATTTAAAAATACGGTAAATACATTTCGGAAATAAAATATTAAATAAAGAAAAAAAAAATGTATCTATAAAATGTGCCTTTATTTTATGATTAATTTTTTTATCAGAGTTTTAAGATTTAAAAAAAACAGTCAATTATGTAATAATGTATAATATATAAATAAATACTGCCTATAATACAATTTATTTCTGGAACGGAGTTTATCTGAACGTTAATTGCACGATGCTATTTAAAAAAAATCTTATCGATCGTCTTATTCACACACAAACGCACTCTTGTGAATTCTCATCTATAAAAGGTCTTTTATAAAGCACAGCTCTTCAGACACCAGTCCTTTGATGCTAGCGCGTAATGTGGATTCGTCTGGATGCTAATTAATATTTCCACTTTCCGCGTAAGAGAGCGACTCGACAAGCAGGTGAAAAGCACGAAAATTTCAGCGTACCGTATAGATTTCTATATAGATAGCAATATTCATATCTATATAACCTTATACCTATATTACGTCATAATTATTTCTATAATTTGTTTCAAAAATGTCGATATATTGTACATTCAGACTATGCACTAGAAATATAATGCGTTTTAAAACGGATCGTATTGTAATCCGTTCGTATCTCTCTATTTCGTCTAACAATCCTATGATAGTGCAGATATCGAATGTGCTCGCAAACGTAGGAAAGAATGGTTTGCATTGCACACAGAAGGAAGATTTCGCGGGTGGGTTGTACGCGGCGGGACTATAAATTTTCAGATCGTGAAACAGGAAGGCGAGTACACGCCTGAGGTCCCTGATACGGTCACGCACGTGCCTCTTCGCACGCACGCACCGTCGTCGTCGTCGTCGTTCCCTCCTTGAAATTTTATCGCGGAACGAATCCAACGAAAACGATCATAAAACTTTGCACTTTACAACCCCTAAGCTCAGGGAAGTCAAGCGCGAGGGACTGAAACCCGGCTCATAACTGAACAGAAAAACAGGTATAGATATGCTCCCTTCTACAGCAAGTTCTAAACTGTAGAAATTGCGTTTATATTTTAATTACTCCGACCTCTCGTAACCAGGCGAAACAAATTGCACCTCGTTTCGTAAATATGCCACGGTTCATTTAATTAAAATCGATATTTTAGTAATAAAAATAAAATGTAATAATAAAACGTGATTTAATTATATTCCATTAAACACCCCTTGTAATAATAAATCGTTAAATTTTCACTAAAAAAAAATCGATGAATTAGTTTACTTGTATTTGTTTAACTTATGAATTTAAGAAATTTGAGTATGTATTTTGTAAGATCGTTCTGCTGCAGTCTTCGAAATTATGATATATATCAAATCCTCGAAGCTCTCTAGATAATACCATGGGAAATACACGAAATACGAGAAGAATTATTTCGAATTCTCTTTCATACGCGTCACATCCTTTTTAATATTTAAAAAGAAGAGAGACACAAGCCTTCGTGCCAACCTAATATTTTAGCATAACCATATCCGCGAGTTTCCACACTTCCACGCAACATGACTGTGAAATGCCGAGAGAAAGAAGCGTGTATGAGGAGAGCCGTTCGCTCTCTTCAGGGAAGGTAGCAGGAAAAGATACAACGGGAGAAAAGGGCCTCTCAGGAGGCTCAATGGCGCACGAGAGATAAACCGTTGAAATGCATTGAAACTCCGGTGTAGCTGAGTAAAATGGAAATGACTCGAGTCGTTCGTGAGATAAAATGTTACGGTTCAGATAATTATTGGATAAAGGGTACGACGATTGAAATAGGTGCGAGAAATCAAATTGAACTGATAAATCATGATAATGTACTCTCAAACATTTAACTGTAGTTAGATAGATTTAACTTTATTGTACAACAAAGGAGGAGAATATTTGATCTGTTTATTTTCAAAGTATTATAATCCCGCGTTTGAAATCTAGATTTTAGTTTTTTATACGGATATTTTAGATTACGGAGACTTTTTTTTTAAGTTTCCCAAGTTTCAAAATTCCAAATAGCCGAAGAATAATTTTTTTATTATCTATCTAATAACATTTAAAAAAATTGTTTTTTTAATACACACAATTTTAATTTGTGTGGCTTAGTCATCAAAATATTTAATACTACGGATTAATAGATCGCGAAAAGACATAAGGTTTAATAAATCTTTTGTTATAAAAAATTCGACTTAATATTTGATAAAAAATATTTACGATACATAATCATATAAAGGGTGTGGCTAATTATATGTTTCAGGACAAAATGTCGATGACTGGGAGCTTGATGGGATACGAGAACAATAACGATGTGAACCAGGCCAAGTGTAAGAAACCGTTGAAGCCGCTGCCAGTTGTGTCGAGCATAAGCTCGAGTGGCGTTACTACCAGCGCTACCAAATCGAAGAAAGCACGAAAACCGACGAGAAAAGAATCGTGCATACGCGGTCATGTGAACAGCCTCTGGTCCGTTTGGTACGGCATACTGGCTGTCGCTTTTCAAGCGTACATAGCAATGAGATACGCCAAACGATTTGCCGGTAAGATAATAACTACTCTGTTCTACCTCGTTGAAATACGCCTCTCCGAGATCGATTATAATGTCGATTATTCGGGAATCTTTCTGTATTGGTTTAATGGTTTCACTTTCGAATAAAGTATCTAGTTACTTTTACGCATAAATAAATCAAGTCGAATGAATAATAATTTTTGCGCGAATACGAATCTTATAAAATTTTTTCTAATGATGACTTTTGTAATAATTTTAATCGCTTTTTAATGTCAATATATGTGAAATATAATATATTATTTTTATATTTACAGAATTTTTTTTTATAATTTTATCATATATATTTTAAGTCTATAATTTTGATTAGTTTTATGAAATAAAAGAGAAATAACACGTAACGCGCAATTATGAGATTGCATTAGTAGTTTTGGAAGAACTTTTTCTTTTCGCTCGTTTTGGATTACTTTAATCAGTAAAATTTCTGGGCAAGATTCCGAATGGTTCGTTGCATTTCCTTATTTTCCGGCCGTTTCCGGTGGCGGCTTTGCGTAAATTTCTTTCCTTGCCAACCAGTACGAGGCTTTCGTTACTGGAGGCCATTACATAAAGGACACATGATAGGGACGGGATTGCCAGCGAAATTTTTCATGCTTTCTATCTCCCTGCACATTGAGAACTGACTTTTTAATTCTCTTAATAGGATAAACAGAAAATTGGAGATAGGAATAATTATTAAATAATTTGCAAATCTAAAAGATTGTTAATGAATTAATATAGCATTAACAAAGTTCTTTCAAAAAAGAAAATGTTAACTTGTCTCGTAACTAGGTTTCAGAGAGAAATAGATGCTAATCTCGAATTTTTATGTTTTCACAAAATTAATCTATGATATTTGATATTATTTTTGTAATTAATATAAAAAGAAGAGCTAAGATTTTTTTTACATGAAATGAGAGAGACTCCATTTTATCTTTTAAAATATATATATTTATTTTGTTTAAAAATATATTTTGCATATATTACTTGTAATCATAAACATCCATTTATTTCATGCGATCTTACATCATTCTTTCAGCTTATCTATCATTACCATGGCCGGCGGATGCGCCACCTCCTAAAATCGAATTGTATGCCTGCCTGGTACTAGCCGGTACCGGAATCATTCTACTTCCGGTGTTGCTTGGCGCAGCATTTTTGAAGCTCGGCAATCTCGCAAACGATGGAATAAAACTCGGCCGGCATTTGAGCGCTTGTTCTCGCGATCCGCCATCATCGCTTCTCAGTAACAATCCCGATAACAGTAAGTGGGCCATAATTTTAGCTTCCACAGTGTGTAACAAGGAGCTATAGAATTTGTAACTATAATCGATTGGAACCTACTTAAGACGTAAAATGATCATTAATGCTCTCTCTGTACTCACGTATCTGAAACTACTTGTGTTAATTAAATTTAGAATTTTTTAATTAACCGACACTGTACGTTGAGAAAAACATACATTATACTTTTATCTTTTATATATACATTACCTTAATAAAAAAAAACCAACGTTTTATATATATACATATATATTGGAAACAACAAAATGAAATAGAGAAGATCGGAATGAGATGCGAGAATCTGATATATCACTTTAAATTCATACTGCCAAGTTTGAAGGAGATGAATAAATTAAACATAAAACTTATTCAAAACCTATTATATTCTGAATGCGGGAGAGCTTTAAGAATTTTTCCTTTGGACTATAGCGCGTAAAGTATAAGTATGTTATCGATTGATATATGTAATTAAATTAAATAAAT